ACACTCTTTGTGTATATATATATATATATATATATATATATATATATATATGTATATAAAATTGAACAAATGTTTCAAACATATTGTTATACACATGTATAATACAATATTATATAATACATATAATGGATATTACATTAAGAATATAATTTTTTTTTATATTAAAATTTTAATTGATCAGCTTCTAATTGATATCAGTAATAAATGATATTTATTATTTTACGAGGATAGATAATATAAACGAGAATTTTATTTTAGAACCTAGGGAAGGCGGAGTTGAGCGATGCGACCTTGAGGAGGAGATGGTGAGGATATAAGGTGATACCTTATCTGAAAGAGTCGCCGAGTCGATACGACAGCTGCAATAAAATGAGCGAGAAAGAAGTTCATTTGCGTCTGTTGCGCAACGAATTATATGGGATCGGTGATCTCATTTTCAACCATTTCTTGTCCATTTGAAAAAGTTTTACACCAAAAAAACATATGGGGCTGTGAGAGGGTGGATTTCCCAAAATGTTCACGTAAATCTTTGGAAAATTTCATTCGGCCGGACTCGTTTCTTCGCCAGAAATTTGATTATATAATTTGCTGCGCAACAAACAGATGATCTTTTTTGCTCATTTTATTGCAAATACTGCCGTACCGACTCGGAGACGCTTTCAAATAAGGTATCACCTCCTCACCATCACCATCATCTCAAGATCGCATCGCTCAATTCCGCCTTTCTTAGGTTCTAAATCAAAATTCTCGTTTATATTTGATCTAGCCTTGTATTTGCGTAATAAAAATGCATATTATAACAAATAAAAACATATTTTATTGTTTTTAATGTGATTTATTCAATTGACAATTTCATCCAAAAGTTACCAGTTAATGAAAGTGATTCATATTCTTTACAGCCTCCTATATCCACATATGCGGTCGAAAAGATCCGAATCTCGATAAATGCGTCACGAACAGCATTGAAAATTTAAGAAGTTATATCTGTAAAGGAATACCGGAATTGAGCAGTCCACCACTTGAGTTGTTTTCTATTAATAAACTAGTTATTTCTGACTCAGATAATGCCAAATTATATTTTAAAGATTTGGTAGTAATGGAGCTTTGCGATTTTATCATAGATTCTTTACACTTAGATATTGATAAGCTTCATTTGGATATTAATGTCTTACTCAATCGTATTTATATTAATGGCACGTATGATTTCGACATACGTATACTAGTGCCTTTTGTTCATAACGGGCCGATTTATTGCACCTCAGGTATGTATTGATTTAATATTAAAATAAAATTTAAAAATTTACAGAAATCTACTTCAATAAATCCAATAAAGATTTAAAATGTAATTTTGTTGATTATTAAATTGTGTTATGTCTTTTTCAGATAACGTTGGAGCAAAAATCGCATTGGACATGAAACTAATAACTAAAAATGATAAAAAATACGTATATGTATCAAAAGTAAACTTAAAGCTCGATGTTAAAACGGTGGACATTAAGTTTGACGAACAGGACTCATCTCAATTAAACAAAATTATTAGCACTTTCATAGGCAGCAATCAAGAAGAGTTAATTGACAAGGCTAGACCACTACTTGAAGCAGATATTTCTAAACAAATACTTTTGATTGCGAACACCATAGTTAAACATTTCACTTACGATGAGCTCTTACCTGACCGAGCATAAATTGTTATTTTGAATTTTAAGATTTACAGTTTATATAACGTCGCTCTATGAATTCGCAATTCAATTAATGAATAAGTAAAACAAGTTCTCTTACAATATCTCGATAACCAGCGATACCAATTTTATTTTCACTAAATCGTGAATATAATATAATATAATAGAATACGGTATAATTAAACATTTCATAATTATTGATTGATGACTCAGCAAATCGCGAATAAATGCTAATAGTTAGTTAACTGAAAATATTATATTCACAATTTTGTATCGCTTATAATAGGGATAAAGATTTTGAGCAAAATATATTTGATGTGATAATTACGAAATTATCATATCTACACTTAATAAAAATTTGATGTCGTATTTTATTATGTACATATATCCTCAGTTTTGTAACTAACTTGTAATAATATTTTATTTAAATTTTTGCTAATTTTGTTATGCTTTATTGCTTATGTATTGACAATATAGAAAAATTTATGTATTATTACATATCAAATAAATACGTTATTTTAATACGCACAGAATTAAATATTGTGTTTAGCAAAACGTTTTTTGTTGGGAGTCAGGATTGGTCCTGCTAATCGTTGATGACTTAAATGGCCTCTGACGTTACTACTTATTTGTTTGCTTGACCTATTGAGAAAAAACTTCATAAATTTTTACGTTTATATTTTTTTCATTCTGAAGCTCCCGACTGTAGTCTTTCAAGCTCATTCGACTCCTCAGCGTTTCATATAGTTACTCACTTACCAGACTTTTCTGCGGTTTTTTTGCTTCGACAACTTTTTTTATATTTTGAACTTTCGGATGAAGATGTTGCTCGTGTTGGGTGAGGTCGATCTTCGAGTCGAATGACATTGTACAATGTCCGCATTTGTATAGATAAGTGATTGTCCGATTTATCTTTATTTTTTTATTTAGGATAGTGGCTACGATTTTAAAATAAACGCCCGCGAGAGCATCACAACGATTTAAGTATACTTTAATTTTCGCATTAGTATTTCACTGAACAACTCTTTTGATTTCACCTTACACGCTTAAGTCTGACCACAATGGATCTTGGCCAAATTGATTCTCACTTTAAATTGAGAGCAATAAGAAAAGAAGAAGGATAGTGGCTACGTTACGAATGTTTTTTTAGAAACAATTTGTCGCATTAATCATACACTCAATTGATTCGCACTTCGGGGTGCTTATTTTTTAACATGTTCATTTAGTTATTTCGCTCCAATGCAGCTGACGTTCAGACCGAGGTCCAAACACCTGTGACAACCTTATGACCGCCTTTATATATTTATTTACTTTCTTGGATATTATAGATGTGTAGGACATGTATGGATCTGAAGCTCATTGCTCGTCCGACGGCACTCCTGGAACGTGAGCATCGCTCGTGTTTCTTCGCCCATTCACTACATAGGCAGCGTACACCTTGCTAGAAACGTTAACGAGGTCCGTCTCTCCTTGGCTTTATTAACTCTATCCATTTCATATCTTCGCTCCTGACGTAAGACACCATCCGAAGCTCAGAACGGCGAACGGATGCTCTAGACTGCTCTTCACCCTGACGGTCTTGTTGAAGTCCTAAATCAGGATATTAGAGGAAACAAACTTGGAAGGTAACTCATCAAGATTCTGGGTATTTATGAGTTTCCATTTTTCTCACAGATTGTGAAAGATGTTCTTCCATTATTGACAATCTGCTGTCACTGTTTCTACATTTCGCTCGTCTCTCGGGTAAATAAATGGCCAGATCGCACATCATTGTTTCGACCCTACGCAAGCGTAAGGATCTAAAAGCCACCACGAGGAAGTAGGTGTGTGACTTAGATACGAGAGGCTACATATTTGCATCATGATCCCAACTATGACTTTCCGAAATCAATGATGCAGGCACAGCCTACGGGAGGTGCGTTGATTTAGAATATTTAGATCTCCAAAAGCTCTTAAGGCGGTGTGTTAATTAATTACTTTAGAAATCTTTGAATTCCGTTAATGGAAGAAAGGAGTTGCAGACATGTGTCTCCAGTGTTTACCCTCCACTGCGAAGCGGGCAACTGCAGCGAAGAGATCGTGTTCTTAGATTCCCTCTCACGAGACAGCTGATCGGGCATCTCCAACTGGCAGTGTTTACCCACATTCAAGATGTTATGAACATACTGTCAACCTTCAAGTCAAACATCAGACCAGTATTAATTAACGCAGCCTAGAGGAAGGTCAGTATATATACTCCGGATAAACTTGGGCGAACAAGGCGAACTCGAGTCCGAAGCACATCAGGATTTCTGTCCGTATTTCAAACAAACAACTTGTGGATAGGAATTGTCGACATTCAGGTAAGGCAAAACGTCTATCAAAACATCTCCTAATCAACAGCGATAAAAGACCGCTTTGATGTTTGTCAAGTTTTGATACTTGACAGACTTGATTGGCAGCTGTTGCCCTCAGTTTCACATGCACGTTAGTAACATGACGAAGCAATTGATAAGAGAGTCGTAGTAATAATTAATTAATATTTGAGAGGATCATAGCTACTACCAAGAAATCCGCACTAAACACAGTCTTAATTCACACTCGTCGTGCAGCAGTTAATGTTGTTCAGTAGTATAAATTTTAACAGACATTAGAAAAATTTTATCTTGAAAAATGGCTTGGAAAATATTTGTTATAATATTTGCTTTTACACTTGCGACATACGTTGCAGCAGAAATACGTAAGTTTGTAAACAACATTCACCACTTATTTATTTCTATTATAATGTGCAGTAAATCTCTTTTATCACATTACAAAAGAACATTCGTTATACTATTTGAAGGATAAAACTTGAAATGAGATTATAAAGAATATATTAATAAAATATTTCTCGGATTAGATCTTTTAATTTGATGCAAACAAGAAATTTAGTAATTTATTGATTTAATACTGCGAATATTTTTTTAAATTGACATTAAATATGATATAATAGCGTAGAGACAATATAAATTTTATATCTGTTATATATATTGTTGTATTTTTAATATTTCATAAAAATAACGTAAAAGTCATGAGTTTCAAAGAAATGCAAACAAAAAGATATGTTCCAATTATAATTTTTGTATCCTTAATCAAGATATGACTTGTTAAAAATTCTAAATATCTGCGTAAATAATTTAAATAATTAAGATTAATATTGATCGATTTGTGACTCAATTAATTTATGCTTTTGATTAATTTTTTCTTACAGTATGAATATTTCACCATAACATATTCTTCTTTAGAATATTACTTCCATCTTTCTATCATACAGTGACTTATAAAATTGATAAAATGTTCCAAATACTTAAAAAAAATTATTGTACATGTATATTATATAATACATATATTACATATAATGTCAAATTATATTTTATAGTAATATTATATAACACATGTAATATTAATATATATAATACATATGTTACAAATAATGTCAAATTATATTTTAAAGATTTAAAAATAATGGGGCTTTGCAATTTTGTTATAAATTCTTTCCACATTGATATGGATAAATTCCATTTGAATGTTGATCTCTTATTCATACATATTTATATTAACGGCACGTATGATTTCGACATACGTATACATTACATTAATATAATCTTTCTTACATGAAAATTTTAATTGATCAGCTTCCAATTGATATCAGAAATAAATGATATTTCATTTGCATAATAAAAAATGCATATTATCTGAAAACATATTTTATTGTTTAATGAAATTTATTCAATTAACAATTTCATCCAAAAGTTACCTGCAGTTAATAAAAGTGATTCATATTCTTTGCAGCCTCCTATATTCACTTATGCGGTCGAAAAGATCCGAATCTCGATAAATGCGTCACGAACAGCGTTGAAAATTTAAGAAGTTATATCTGCAGAGGAATACCGGAATTGACCGTTCCAGCACTTGAGTCATTTCCTGTTAATACTATAGTTATTTCTGACACATATAATGCCAAATTATATTTTAAAGATTTAAAAATAATGAGGCTTTGCGATTTTGTTATAAATTTTTTTCACATTGATATGGATAAGCTCCATATCGATGTTGATCTCTCATTCAAACATATTTATGTTAACGGCACGTATGATTTCGACATACGTCTACTGGTACCTTTCGTTCACAAAGGGCCGGTTTCTCTTAACTCAGGTATGTATTTAATTTAACATTAAAATGAAATTAAAAATTTACAGAAATCTACTTCAATAAATTCAATAAAGAATTAAAATGTAATTTTGTTTTACCGATCTTTTCTAAAAAAAAAAAACATGTTAAATCGATGCTCATATCTGTCAAAGTTTGAGACCTTTCTTCCGCGATTCTATAATTGCACTTATTTCGCGAACAGCTATCATTGCATATTTTGACAGTTGTATTTATTGAGGTTGAGTAGTGAGAAAGTATATAGCATATATAGTAACAAGTGAAAAATGTTAAATAGCGCGTCTGTATAGTACTATTAAATTATGTTATGTCTTTTTCAGATAACGTGAGAGCAACACTCGGAGGAGACATGAAATTAATAACTAAAAATAATAAAAGATATTCATATCTTTCAAAAATAACCACGAAGCTCGATGTTAAAACGGTGGATGTTAAATTTGAGGAACAGGATTCATCTCAATTAAACGAAATTCTTAACTCTTTCATAGGCAACAATAAACGAGAACTTATTGACAAACTTGCACCGCCATTTGAAATAGAAATCTCTAAACAACTACTTTTGATTGCAAACGCCATAATTAAACATTTCACTTTCGATGAGCTCTTCCCTGAACAAGTATAAATTGTTAGAACTTTAAGATTTACAATCACAAAGTTGCTGTGTAAATTTGCAATTCAATTAATGAATAATTGAAATAAGTTCTCTTATATTATCTCGATAATCAGCGGCACAAATTTTATTTTTATTAAATAATGTAATTGATCATTTCATAATTATAGATTAACTTAATTACTCAGTATCACGAATAGATGCGAAGTAATAGCTAGTAAATTGAAAATATTATATTTACAATTTTGTTCGTTATTGGGATAAAGGGTTTGAGTAAAATGTATTTGATATGATAATACCAAATTAATAGCTCAATAAAATTGCAATGCCGATTTTATTCTGTACATGTTCACAATTTTATAACTTGTATAATTAATAATATTTTATTTAAAATTTTGTTAATTTTATTATTGTTATTCATATATCGATCATGTAGAAAAATTTATGTATTACAACTGTTTTCTCAAGTCAAATAAATGCATTGTTAAATAAATGTGTTGTTTTAATATGCGTAGAATTAATTAGTTTCTTATAATAACGGAAGAAATTGGATAAGTAAATAACATATCATAATATAGATGTCGTTTTAGTTTAGGAAAAAGAGAAAATCTTAATAAAATCTCAATGCTAGTTTAGGCCCTACAAAAATAAACGCGACAGTTTTATCAACTTTGTATAGGCGACACGTATAAAAAATGCAATTTTTAATTGCTTATATCTCAGTATTAAAATGGTCAATCTCATTTTAATTGCACAAGCGTGTCAACGACTTCTAATACAACATATAGTTTCAATTTCAAGAAATTCTCAATATTTTGAATTTGCGAGTGTATTACCTTAAAAAAAATTCTTTTCCTGATTTTTTTAAACCATCTTATCGGTTCACTACGAAGAGCTAATTCAATTTTTAACGCATAACTTGAGAAATGTATAATTGAACATATATA